TCTTTATATTTTCTGATTTATTTGATTATAACGCAGGTTGCAATGGGGCAATGACTAGATGCATTTATTGTGGGAAGTATTTTAAGTTTTTCCCAGAAATATTTCAACTGTGGAAATTCTTAGAAGGTAGAAACATTGTACAAACTAAGGCGAGGGAATGAATCACCTGATAAGGCAAATTCCCTAACAAATATTTTTCCAAAGTAGAGGTAAAAAAGGGGTCCCTCTCTTTTTCAGAAATGAGGGCAGGAATAATATCAACAGAGACTGGTGGAAAATAAGCTTCCTTTGCTTTTGAATAAGCAGATAATCTCAGAAGCAGTCTTCATCCATACAAAACATTTTTCCCAAAGCTGCCCCTAAAGGAAATGAAAACAGTCAAGTGCAATCAGCAACATTCTTTTGAGCGTAAGAGAGTATGTTTCTCTTTCACCACAGTTGCTGTCTTAACAAATTACTTTTTCTCTTTAACCTGAATTAGTGTGTTTACTAATTCATAACTGTTTTGTGAATAACTTCAACAATAACTCCCAGGAAAATTGCATTAGCAAAAATAGAGCAAACTGATTGAAGAAAATAAGACTTGCCTAAAGAAACACATAAGGCTTTGCTTTTTTGGGCATCTGTAGCAGTGAGAGTGCTGAGGGCCAGAGTAACATCAATAAATGACAAGGAAACTTGTGACCAGAAGAAAGAATTGCACCTGTATGACCCAGCGGTTAAGACTGGACTTAATGTAGCACCTACGAGAATGCTTATTTTCGATATTGTATTTTGACAAAAGTGATTGTTTTTAAAAGTAATTTGCAAACTATCTCAAGAGAGTTGGATTTTAGCAATTATACTGGCCCAAGAAGGATCTGATTTGTAAAGCCCTACCTTTGTCCACCACTAGTGGAAATCATGGTCATTCCTTTATTGTTTTGATTAATGATGGAGTCCCTAGGGGAGTGACTTCTTCTCAATCAATTTACTTAAGTTCATACCTATGATTTTTTTTTACATTTTTTCCTTTACTGGTTGCTATGGTTTAGATTTGGTTTAATTGCTTAATTATGTCCCCCCAAGGGTCATACGTGATTGAAAGTTTAGTCTGGAGAGTGGCACTACTGGGAGGTGCTAGAATCTTTAAGAGGTGGTGAGCAGGGGGAAGTCTTTAGGTCTTTGAGGGCAGGGCCCTTGAAGGAGATTGTAGGGCCTCAGACACCTCTTATTCCTCCCTTTTTCTTTGTGGCCATCAAGTGAGCTGTTTTGTTCCGGGATGTGTTCTTCAACATCGACATCCAGCACCCCAGCCAGAGGGCTGAAGCAGTGTATCTGCCTGATTATGGACTGGTATCTCCAAAACCATAAGCCAAAATAACCCTTTTCTCTTTACAAGATGATTGTCAGAGGTGTTTGTGGTAGAGACGGAAAGATGACTAACACAGTGGTCCTTAGGTCATTGAAGGTATGAATTCATGGAGTAGGTCATGTGACCACCTGGGAGTTCTTGTGCAAACTCCTGAGTTCTCCCAAGAGAATTGCTATAAAATGAGCAAGCCTATTTTTCATCTTGCAGTGCCCTGGGTTCACGATGTAGTCCCTCACCTGCTCCTGCAGCTACTCTTGCCATTGCTATCTTCCATCACGGGATAAAGCCAGGAACTGACTCTATTCCAGAGCCACACCCGTGAGTCCCCAAAACTGTGGGCTAAATCAACCTTTCCTCCCAATGAATTAGCTGCCGCAGAATTCTTCTTGTCATTACATGAACCTGACTAGTACTTCTGACCTGCTGTGAGCACAGTAATAGCTTCCTCTTTACCACTCCAATTCTGGGTCTCTGATCATAAAATGGCTGATGGATCAATATGCGACTTTGGATGTGCTTTTTCATCAGAGGTTTGCAGGCAGTGTATTAAAATTTAGTTGAGACATAATCTTTTCTGAGTTTGGTTCCCATGAAGTACTTCCCAGGGAGAGTAGAGTCCCTGGCAGTGAAGTTCCACACATGGTAGCTTTCATAAAATAAAACAGGGAAGCATCTGCTCTAGCAATTTTATGGGCATTTTCCTTTCTAAGGGATTAGAGGATGTTGGGCAGATGTTTATGGCTGCCTTCACATACATTCTGAAGCACTGTCCTCATTTGAATCTGTAATTCACATTGTGATGTAGCGCTAAAGTTGTTGAGTTAATTCCAGTGTGTGTCTGGGGTCTGCTGGCAAATGGCTAACAACAGGCTCCTTAGGGGCAGGAGATGGGCCTGAGTTAGAGTGTTTTCTGAACCCTAAAGTGTTAATACTCCCACCAATGCCAATGTAAAGCTATGAAGTGATGTGTCCCTGGATGTGGAATTTGTAAGGAGTGCATAGCAGCACATTATGTAGTGGTCCCACTACACGAATACAACATGCAGAAATAACCCCACAAGTATGGATAATGGTAAAATGGAGCAAAAGAAGTTGGAAGTGATGGGTTTGGGGATTTTTATTATCTTTGCTTTTAATAAAACTTATTTGGTTATAAGTTTATAGCACTTTAAGGAGTTCAACAATTGTCTTGCAAAACATCTGGAAATTAATTGGGTCTGACTAGCTGATCCCAAAGGTCTGGGACACCTGCTTTTCAGGTCAAAGTGATTTTTTTGTGGGTGTAAATGATCACTTCTACAATGCCTCTGGCCCTTGGGGGAGCAATCCTTGAAGCTGTTTTTTGTTTTGTTTTGTTTTTAAAATGGTCATTCATGGAAGTGGGAGTAGAAAATTTGACCTCAGACCAGTAATAAGAGCATTTGACATTGCTCTTGCCTTAGGAATACACTTTCGGTACCGTTTACTGAGGCAAAACTGTCTGGTAATATATACTCATTTATTCATTCAGTCATTCTTCACATGGTTGTTGGGCACCTATGCATGCAGGGTGTTGTGTCTGACCCAAGACGGTCAAAAAAAATTAGTCCATTCTGTCCCGGAGGTCACAGTCTAGTGAAGAAGAAAATATACATATAAGTCACAATCCATAGACAAATACAAAAACCACAATGTACCATTATAGCTAGGATTAGTAGTATTTTGCCATGCTGGAGATTGAACCCAGGCCTTGTGCATGCTATGCAAGTGCTCTACCACTGCACTACACCTCTAGCCCTTTAATATTTTCAGAGCCATATTCCTGAGGCGGGAGGTAGAAAGGAGAAGTTCCTGTAATGTCCTGATGGCCAAAGGGAAATAAGGGAACCTGGCTCTTCAAAAACCACAGAGTGCCCAGTGCTTACAGTCAGACCACAGCCAAGAAAGACAAGGTGGTGAATGTGCTATAGGCACATTTCTTCTCTATAAACGACCAAGCATACCCACCTCTAAGATTAAACGATGCCTAAGGACAAATGGGCTATAGAATATCTTGAGCAGCCAAGAGTGACCTCAACTCAGTTGTAATTCATTATTTCACATTTGCATTGTGGTTTTGACCACCCTCCCACCCACTCAGTAGGCTTTGGGCACCATGACAGTTCCTCAAAGATCCACGTAGGGACAAAACTTCCCCCTCCAGCAAAAAGAAGGAGACTCATCTCTGAGTGAACTGCTGAGCCAGTTCAAAGAGTTGCTCCTCCCTGTAAAAACCACACAGAGGCTCTGACCCCTGACTTCTTTGGCCATGAGCTCTTCTCACTGACCCACTCCTGCCCGGAGGACCCTATCCTGACTAATACATCTGTGCGGTCACTTCTGCTTCTGTGCATCCTGCTCGATTCTTTGGACACCAAGAACCTAGGACACTCACAGCCCCCAACAACAACTCTACAATTTAGAAAAGCTAAAGACAAAGATGCTGTATTTCCTTTTCTAGGGCTGGGCCATTATCTTCCTGTGCCCCTCTTGTCTGTCCCAGTCTACCCTCTCTCTGCTGGGGAGTGCTTTCACCTTGCACTTTGCAGAGAGGTCTATTTCTGGTCAAACAAGCAACTGCACATAGAACACTTGCATTAGTCTATCCCCAAACTCAGTAACTGTTAACTACAACCATCCTCATCACCATCAACCACCACCACCACTACCATCATATCCCCCCCCCCCCAGCATCTCTCTGGACTCATAGAAGCTTAAATCTGCAAACGCCTTATCTCTTTTGCAGTTCCTTCTTTCTGATGGATAGGCATCTAGCCTGTAATGGATTATCTCCCATAGCACTGAGCTTTATCACCAACAAACAACATAGGCAGCAACCAGGATAATTAATTCTGCTACCCTACATGGCCTGATTTAGAAGTTTTTCTACACCCTGAAAAGAAGGTTTAGAGAAATTTAGAATGATCTAAAATACTGTAGATTTTCCAAATAATTATTTGACAGTGCCCTCATTCTGAGATCTCTGAACACTTTGTGAATATGTGTAGCTGTGTTCATTGATCTTGTTTAACAACATGCTAATACATCAGGTGTCCAAAGTGCGCTGAGCCCTTGTACAATAAACTAGCCGTGCACTGAGAACTATACATCCAGGTTACCCATCTAAAGCCAAGGATCAAATTCTTCAGCGTGCATGTGCGCCCTCTGTTGGCCATTGTGGAGAAATCCCAGCTGTTTTACAAAAACCAGTGTTTTCTGTTTATGTTTTCTATCATTCCTTCTTTCTGAGAAAATTTATTATTCTCATTCTGAGTGCCAAGTACACATATTATACTAGTGTCTTTGTATGGTTATTTTTACTCTTTTATGTGTTTAAATCATTTTCTCATAAAATATCCAATGTAAAGAATAAAACAAGCCAGAAAATGAATGACACAAAATTTTGTTATTTTGTAGAAATATGGATAATAGTTCTTTAGGCCAATTAAATACACTAATTTTAGAAATTTGGATTGTTGAAGAAATTATTTAGTTCAGTCTCCTTTATTTTAAAGCCCAAGAAAAAAGTTCTATGACACTAACTTGTAGTATTAAGTGCCTTTATTGCTACACTTCAACCTAAGAATAAAAGAAATAGTCAAGTTTTATGTTATTTTCTTTTTTTCAGTTGACAGAGAAAAGACGTAAGAACGAATTTAAACTGTGTAGAGAATGTATTTAGGATTCATTCACTTAGAAGTAAATCACTAAAACCAGAAACTGCAAATACCAGCGTGTGAAATGAGAAGCAAAAATGAGAAAAGCAGATCCAGACCTTTGTAAGACTGAAGATTTAGGATCCCCAGGAGAGAAAATGGACATGGTAATCCAGAACTGGCAGAGTTCACATCAAAGAGGTAAAAGGCCTTGATGTACTAAGCACTCAGTGGGGAATTAGGTAAGGAACAAAGTATTGAATGAGCAGGAAAAAATACAGAATCACCCTACCTAAAGATGGCCAGTGCACTTGCCTCGCAAGCGCAAGGACCCGAGTTCAATCCCCGGTAGTAAAGATGGCCAGTGTTGGCTTATCATGTCTTTTCAGAAAGAGGCACAGAGCCAAGAGCGGGAAGCACTGGGGACTTGCGCTTCCTTTGACCTGCAGTCAGGTCTCCAGCCAGCATCTCAGCAGCATTTCCAAGTAGCACAGAGCCCAGGGCATGTTCTACAAGGCCAGCCGCAGGGGCAACTGTTGGGATACAGAGAGGAATAAGTGTCCTGGCTCGTTCCTTTTTTCTGATCCTAAACAACTTTTACATAGTGAAATAGATATGGTTGTTTTTTTCCAAAGAGATCAGGCAACTTCTGTATTCTATCTCACACCTGACAGCTGCCCCACCAGCCCTAGAGAATATGCTCTTAGTCCTGCTTCTGAGCACCAGTCAAGGGGCTTGGGTGGATATTGAACTACTGTGTTGGAGGTTGTTTATCTTTGGACCTTGTCCTTCCTTTCTCCCATTAATAATATTGTCAAGAAGATCACAACAGCATCTATGTTGAATAGCTAGGCAGAGGATAAATTAATTCTAGATTCAATCAGGCAGCTGTGGTCTCATGCCTCAGAAGCAGTATTGGTGTCATTCTATAGGATGCATTTTGTTTTATCTCTGCTGATGTGATTATAAAAGCCAGACAGAATGAAAACAGACTTCGCTACATTATGAGCCAGTGCTACACTAATGAGACAGGGCTGCAGATAATCACTCAGAATGACTTTTATTGGTTTAATGGTACCCATGGGTTGTCCAGTGTGTCAGCCCAGACTCACAAGTGAGAAGGGAAGTGTTGCTGGCTTCAGACCCAGTGACAAGAGCTGTGATAATAAACAGCACAGGGAGGGGACATTAAAGCTGCATTATAGCTTTTGAGCAGTAATTAAGGTGCTTAATAATGAGAATAAGCAATAAAAGTGGCTAAGCTATGTTCACTGCACACTGTTTAGGAAATGAGACAAGAGTGTAATAAATTTTAGAACTATTCTCATCAAAGTAAACAAGTAAAGGAAGTAAAACTTTCTTAGCTGTGCAAAATTCGCTTTTCTGAAAATTCTGATGTGACAGTTCGGGATAAGTGAGGCTTAGCTCTGTTTTCACAATCACAGCCCTCTGTGAAATGTGGTTCAATATCCCAGAACACGGAGAACGAGGGGTGATGCATGCGTGATGAGAGCCGAGACCACAGATCGGAACTGGGAAGGGGAGCCCCACGTTCAGCCTTTCTGCACACTTCTGTCGAAGACTGGGTAGCCAGGCTGTGTTTAAGAACCCACACCCAGGGCCAGGTGGAGACTCCCATGGGAGGACAAGACCTCAGTGTCCTGCTTCTCAACTTTTCTCATTGTGAGAACAGCCTTGTAGAGAGTGAGCAGAGGAAGAGCAAAAACAGGAAGAAGAGGAAAACCCTAGTCTTTTTCCTAAAGACTGTTATCATTCCATTTCCAAAAACAGGGAGAAGAGTATCCAATAAATATTTCTGCAATGAATAAATGTACAAGTGGACAGGGTGAGGCAAACACTACTATGAGCCATGCTCTCTGGCTTTGCGGACATGTAAACTCTCCAGTGAGCAGCAGTGGCAACCTGGCCAAGCCCAATGTGAGTCAGGGATGCACCCACCAGCTTTAAGGGCGACAGCTCGGTGGCGAGTACTGACGCCATCATTTTTGCCACAGATATTGTTCCATTTCCTTCCTTTGAAGAGTGTGTGGCTCCTTGGTGACCAGACATCCTTATATGCTCCTGTACTCGGACTTCGACTGGAGCCAGCTTTGGCTGCTGCTGGTTTAATCCGCCCAGGGGCCGTGTTAATACCCACAAAGGGGAACCTTACAATCACTGTGCCACCATCTGTTTCAAGATGACAAAACTGTTTTGCTTTTTTTTTCCCTACTGCTCTGTGTCCTGTGCCAAAGAAGTACTAAAATTAATCCAGGAAAAATGAAAGGAATGAAAAGACAGGTCAACTGCAATCAAATTTACTGTTCATTAATTTCTTTTAAAATAATTCCACTATCCAGTCATATTTTATTTAGCTTAAAGGCAATAAACAGGGATAGATTTTCTTTTGTTTTTCTTCTGGAACAGTTTAGAAAGATCCAAGAAAAAAAAGTGAAGAAAATCCATTCAGAACAAGTTTCTTAGCCTGAAAAATGTCCCTGTCCTGGGACACACGTGCTGACCTCCTCACAGCCCAGACAGAGATGTGTCAGCCAGAATCAATAACTAGCGTCAACCCTGCGTTGGGTTCTGTGTTTAAATCATTATTTAAATTCTTTTGGGGGGATAATATTACTCTTTGATTCTTTTTATCTGTTTTATGGAACCAAAAGTAACTGAGCAACCAGAAAGGGAGAAAAGATGCTTTATCCAGCAGTTCTTGTTAATATAAGAACAAAAACTTCCCCCGCTATTCCTAACCAGGAAAGGGAAACATCAAGTGTGTTGGTTTCTTCTCGAATTCTCTCTCTCAGACCCTTCTCAACAGCTTTGGAGAAGCTCAGCACCAGCAGTCCCACTCTGGCTCCCTGGAGCGGGACACCCTGTCTTTTCGTAGGCCCTTCCTTATCCTGTTTGCTTCCACAGGAAGCTATCCTCCTGGGACATGGTGCTGGGAAAGCTAGGGCCCTTCGCTCCTAGGCAATGACTAAAATCAGCCCTTTTTTTTTTTTCCTTCAGGTACTGAGCATTGAACCCAGGGCCTTTGTACTCAGCTGCATCCTCAGCTGTTTTTTAATTTTCTTATTTTGAGATAGGGACATGCTAGGTAGCTAAATGCCCCAGGCTGGGCTTGAATTTGTAATCCTCCTGCCTCAGCTTCCTGCTGGGATTACCAAAGTGCACCACCATGCTCAGCTGGAAACAGGCTTTTTAAAATTGTGAGGTCAAAAGAAATCAAAACTCTGAATCAGATTTCAGGCATCATTTCTAACTGTAGGAAGGCAACTCTTTCAGAAAAAAAAAGATTTAAAACTCATTATTAGACAGTTACTCAGTCCTTGGTTTTTGTGTTTGGGTATAATTTGATAATCCCACAAGGCAAATGAAAACTTTTCATCTGTTAAAAGGTATGAGCCTATGGAACTTTATTTGAACAGTATCTCTACTCGGTGAGAACAGATGGTTCATAGTTGATCAATGCAAATCTCTATATGTCTATCCCAAAAAGAATAGAGTAACTGGATTATCATATAATTACAATTACCAAATAATTACACAGTGTTTAGCTAATATGTAAATAAATGAACATTTATTTACCTGCTACATGGTAGCCACTTTTCTAAGTGCTTCACATGTGTTATTTCAAGAGTTTTAACATACACTAATGAGGTTAGTGTTTATATATCTATTTTTCACATTTCTTAGGGCTTAGTACATGCCAGGTACTGTCTTAAGAGCTTTACAAACATGGTGTGCTTCTTCCTACTTTCCCATGCTGGCTCTGAGGTCACCAGCACTCCGTCCTCAGCCTCTCCGGGTGCTCACTCCATCTGTGTGCATGAGCAATGGTCTTGGTTACATCTGTACCACACATCTGTACATCTAGGCTTGACCAGACTCCTGAGCTCCACATCTCAACAGCATACTGGAAGTCAGAATCTGGATTTACCAGGGGACCCACAAATATAAATGACCCAAGTTGAACTCGTCATCTGTCCACCCCAAATGTGCCCACCACCTGCCTTCCTATCTCGGGCATGGACATTAGGGAAGTGTCTCTTTACAGCTTTGAGTCCCAGATTCCTCATCTATATGATTAATAAGTTGAATTAAATAATCATCACAAACATTCTTACTTTGACATTTTTTAAATTCTGCAAGCCTTTTGCCCCTAGCACTGTCTCCAGGTTTTACTCTATCTGCTTTTAAACTTTTAAAAATTCTTTTATTAATTTTATAAGTACAAACTGAACATATTCTGTAGGCTCAACACAGGGGAGGACACACACAAGCTTAAATATCACATGATTTCTCTTCTATGAGAAACCCAAAGTATAAATAACTTAAGAACAAAATAAAAGATAGATAATAGGAAACAAGGAGATGGATCTTTTGCAAATGGGAAGGGAATCAAGAAATGGAAGAAGTAAGGAGAGAGGGGAGAATAGAGGCCAGAAAGAATTGAGATGTGTTATGTACATGTACCACTTCCCCATGATGAATGTAATCATTCTGTACTTCAGATATGTTACTGTGCTAGTACAAAAATTAAAGATTCTTGCTCTCAGAATATGCACAAGGCATATCAGGCATGGTGGTGCACTCCTATAATCCCAGCACTCATGAGGCTGAGACAGAGGGATCACTTCAAGGCCAGCTGGGCTACATAGAGAGTTCAAGGCCAGCCTACCAGTCAGCTGACCTCCCATAGATAATCTCTCCATCAGTCTCTGACTTCCGTGTCTGGACTTCTGCATATCAGTCTGCTCTTTGGCCTCTGTCTATGTAGGTGAGGCCTTCATGGTGGCTCATCTGCTTCAGTGCTTACACTTCCCTGACCACTGATGGAGTAACCCTCCTAAAGCTCTGGTCCCACCACGGCCCTGTCTTGGCTGCAAGCCTCCAGCAATGCTTCCTTGTTTGCAGGAAAAGTCTTGAGTGGCAGATGACACCTTTGCCATCAGTCCCCATGGGTACCCGCCCCACCTTTCTTACCTTGCTCTGCAACCCAGGAGAGCCGGAAGGCAGTGGCTCCCTCTACAGGCCGTACTGCGGTGACTTCTATGCTCTGTACGTGCCAATTCCTTGGGCCATCTGTTTTTTAATCTGGGCAATAAATTTCTCAAGACTCTGAGAAACTCAGGATTATTCTTCTGAAAAACCTTCTCTGCCTTCCAAGAAGCCATCCATTTCCCCCTTCTTGCACCATTTCTATTTCTTCAATGTGTTTCTGTTACTGCCTGTACCATCCTGTGTTGTAATGATTGCTTCATGTTTTGTTTTACATCTAGAATACAGGGTTCGTTAGGGTGTGGACAGTACCAGGATAATCCCTGTGTCCCCCGTAACACCTGGGAAGCAGCACACAGTAAGCCCAGGTGAAGGTTTGTTGACTGGATGACTGAGGGGCAGCACTTGGGAAACGCACACGGGCAGGACGAGTCCAAGGGCTAAAGTGGGGGTGGTTCAGGGAGGTTCGGCCACATCACTGGCGTAAGAAGGAAAGAAAGCAGCGAGCAACTCCTGGATCTGAGGGGAGGGGGGACAACCGCCCTTACCTGACATATGCTGAGCCCTCTGCCTGCTACCTCTCATGCTCATCTGTGGGACCAGTCTGTGATTGCCCTGAGACACGGCTTGGATCACAGCGGACTCGGCAGATCCCCATAGAGCACGTCAACTACGTTGCCCCGGAGTTGCACTATTTGCCATTTAGGGACAAGGCTAGAAAATAGAATTGTTCAGGGAGCAGTTAGTTCTGTGAAGGGAGATGACTGATTCAGGCCCTTAAATATCTAATTAGAAAAATAATGCATTTCTGCCTATTATTGAATGTAGCTGTATCGTCTCTGAATTGGGGAAAGAAGTAGGATGAGCGTTTTGCCATGATACCAAAACCAGAGCGCAGCCTGCTCCCATGGCTGGCCTCTGGGTTTCTGCACGTGATGCGGCCATGAGTGACGCACAGCTCTGTCCTCTAACCTCCCTCATCGTCCACCTGCACCAACAAACACGCAAGGCTCTGGCCTCGCTTTGGGCCTGCGGGCAGCAGTGATCACGCTGTTGACAGACGGGGCCGCCTTTCTTCCCAAGCATTCTTCTCCTTAGGGCAAGTTCTTGTCTTACCCAACCTTGCGTGCGTTTGCAGGGCTCAGCCAAGGGTTTGGCCGTAGTGTCTGCTTAGTTGTTGCGTAGGGAATTGATGAATGAATAAAGAAAAATTTAAAAGGAGAGAAAGAGATGAGAGAGAGAGAGAGAGAGAGAGAGAGAGAGAGAGAGAGAGAGAGAGAGAGAGGTGGAAAAAATGTGAAGACAAAAGATTTAGAGAATTAAAGAATATCAAAATAAGAATGCTTGTAGGGATGATTTAGTTGAATTGTTAAATATGTATGTGACAACAGAGCCCAGAGAATTGTAGGTTGCTTAGGATTTAATCCAGCTCCTCCCCTGTCCCTCCTTGTCACTGCTATGTTTCTCAATGTAAGGAGACAGTCCAGAGAATTATTTCTTCCATGATCCCACTAATATTTATTAAACATATATCAGACTCTGTTCTGGGGTCTAGAAATAAGGAGCTCAACAAAACAAACAATGCTCTGTCCTTCTGGAGTTTACAGATTCTAGCAAAAGAGATGTACAATATAGTAAAATAAATAACTATTTAGAAGCTGTAAGTAATATGGGAGAAAAATAAAGCCATGGTAAGAACAGAGTACAGGGGCCCTGAAAGGGACTCAGAAAGTGACATGTGAGAAAAGATCAAAGAGCTGAAGGTAGTGGGAAGCAAACCTTAGCAAGCTCCAGGGGAAGAGGGCAGAGCAAGGCAAATGCCCTTCGGCAGGCGGGTGCCTGGCATTTTCCGAGCAACAGCAACGGGCCCAATGTGGGTAAGGAGAGCAGTGAAGGGTGAGTCTGACAGAGAACCGAGTGACTGTATAGCTCCCATGAGCCTTTGTGAGGGGCCTGACCCACTCTGGGTGAGATAGGAAGCCATGTAACAAGGGTAACACAGACTGTGGGGTTGTGAATAAAGCATAGGGAAAGGGTAGAATCAGAGGCCCAGTTAGGAGACTACTATACTGAATCAGGAGAGACAACATGGGGCTTTCAGCAGGGTAATGGCAGAGGGCATTTGAGAAGCCATCAGTGGGAGGACCAGAAGTTTTGCCTGAATGCATTAGGTGTGAAATACTTATTAGGCATCCACATTTGTAGGTCTAGTAAGCACTTGGATATAAACTTTGGAATTCAGGAAAGAGAACTCAACTACAAATATAAATGTGGAGGCCACTAGCATATAAAAGGTTCTTAAAGCCATCAGACTGGCTAACATCACCAAGGGATGAGAGTAGAGGAAGTGGTCTAAGGTTTGGCGAGCGACTCAGCATTTAGAGATAGGGGAATGCAGAGGATCCACAGGGACCCGACTCAGCATTTAGAGATAGGGGAATGCAGAGGATCCACAGGGACCGAGCTGGGGGGAGAGTCAGGAGAGTGGAGTGTCCTGGAAACCGGTAGGGAACGTACCCCATGGGGAGATCCCACCAACTGTTGAGTCAGACACTGCTCACAGATCAAGAAGAGGGCAGTGAAAGCTGGATTTGAATTTAGCCATGGGGTCATTCCTGATGCTCTTGCTAAGAGTAGTTTATGTGGTGATGAGGAGGCAGATGCCTAATGGAATGGGTCAAGAGGGAAGAAACAAGAGGAATTAAAGATAGCGAGTATCAACAGTGCTTCCAAGGAGCAGAGGAATTAGGAAGATGAGTTGGTAGGCGAGGTCAGCAAAAGATGTTTGCTTTTTGTTTTTGAAGAGAAAAATAACAGCATCTTTGGCGACTGATAGGAATGGTCCAGTTGAGAACAGAATTTAATAAAATCCAATTCAACTAAATTCAACAAATCTGCCTAGAGCAAGGCACTATTCCATATGTGACACCTTTGTGAACAAGATAGTAACAGGTCATTGTCATTATGTACAGCAGGG